CCCATCCAAATATTATTGCCGCTAGTATTTTTTTTTTTATAGATTACTCATCTTTCGCTAAACATAAATCAATAAATTTTTCGCTATAATTATGTCTAATTTATTTCTATTTATGAAGAAATTTCAGAAACTATTTCTTCCATTAAAGCGATAAAATTTTTGTAAACCAAATCTAGCAGAGATGGGTACGGTTCAATTTGCAGCTCTTCAAATCGATGCCAATTTTCGTTCGGCTCTATTATGAGGTATATTTATGTAGTTTAAAACGGCATGTTGATATGTAATACAAGAACAGTGAACAGAAAAAAATATCATAAGTAGAAATGAAATAATTGATATAGTTTTTGGTCTTTCGTCGTTCAAGAAAAATAGAAAGTATATGAACTAGTTCTGTCTTTTATGACGATAGAAATTTACGTTATAATCAATTTAATCAAGGCCAATACAAAAATGTGTCCCAGAAAAGTAAAACAGTTTACAGTATATGAATGACTCTTGCAGGATTATCAACATGCAGAAACCATTGTAGCTTCAGCTTTCATCAGTTTCTAACGTAAGTGAGAATTTGTGCCAAAATATTTTTTTCGATCACATATACTGCATAAAATTACAATTTGTTAATTAATTAGCCAATTAAGGAAGTATTTTCTATTATGTTCAAGCTCTTTCAAGAGATCCGTCTATTACGCAAGAGTCTCTTCTATCATAAGAGAGAAAATTTAGATAGCCATTATTTGAAATAAAATAACTGTTGCAACAAAAATTAAATAGCTTCAATTATCTCTAATAAAATTGAATTTTTTTTTCTCAGTTTGATTTAAATATGTGTTCCACTTTTTCTAATTTTGTTTTTATTTTTCTCCATAGTTTGCCAAAACAGTCAAAAATGACTCTACATTTACTAGTGTTTATCATTATAGTTCAATTGAAAAGTAAAATATATAGTGAGTTCGGAATCAGTGCGAAAAACTACATTGGATCATGTATATTGTAATAGGACCCCAGGCGTATCATACATGAAAGTGTATCGAAAGACATGTAAGCACGTCCCGATGACAAGTAGATTCTGTTAAAATATAAATGATCCGATGTAGTTTTTATGTTGCTTCCGAATTCATCATTCCTCTTGCTTTTCAATTGAGTCATGATGATAAAAACTAGTAAGTACACAATTATTTTTGATCTGACGATTTTAATGGAATAAAACATTTATCCTTTTCTCAGAAGAAAATGAATAAGTTTATAAAATTGGCTATAGACAAGGACATTTTATTGAATATAAACAAAGTTCTTTAAGTAACGACAATATTTTATCGTTTTCTTTGTTTTTTTGCTTTACATATTTGCTGTTCATTGCAGAAATATTTTAGTCATCATGGAAAAATTACATTAGATTTTCTAAAAAAGAAATTCAGTAGAAACATGCAACATCTTTTGAAAATTTTATGTTTTCATTCAAGATTCTGCCCATCGCAATATTGAATGGGCTCGATCCAGTTCATTGACACCTCTAATATCTATTACGGATATTGTTTTTTTACTTTACTAATCCTAAATCAGAGTGGAATAGTATTTTTTTTTTATTCTAAATTTAAATAAAATACTTTCTGTGAATTTAGAAAAAAAAATAGATGATAAAAGTTAGAAGCTATTTGAGAAAAAAAAGTCATTTTTGGTGTTGCATCAAACATCATTTGTTTATTAGGCTTTTTCCACAGAGAGGAAGATCATATTGCAATAAACATAACATAGTCTTAAACCAGTGTCGTCAAGCTCTGTCAAACCATGCATACATAGATTGAAAATAATATTCACTTGAATTATACATTCCATCGCATCTTACTTTTTCATTTATTTTTTTTTTTTATAGTTTTTAGTGATAAATATAGTTTATGATCATATATACATGAATCCTTAAGTCCATATTAAATTGAAAATCCATTAGTGCCTTACGGATGAAACTCATTTTAAAAAGTTCGTATTAACAGCATATGGAATACGCCAGTGATATAGATTATTTAACATATTAAATTCTTCAAATCAATTAAAAGTAGGGAATTTTTATTAGAGAAATCTTACGGCGATTGTATTATTTTCAAGAGTAAAATCTGTATTTGTGTTTTTAAAGATCACTATATTGCGAAGCGTCATTCTTTGAATGAAGCTCATATTTTTTTAAAATGAGAATGTATAGATGAACATATCGTTTTATTTAATATATTTCTATCAGAAATTATTTTCTTGATATTTTTATCAAATCTAGATGTCGCCTTATCAAGTGCATTCGATAACGATTCTTATTTCATTTCATTTCTCATGACATTTTATATCGTCATATTGCATACTACCCATTGATTTTTCGTTTCTTTTGTGTGAAGTTGCCAATTTTCGTTACAAAATTACAAAATTATTGTAGAGATTTGTATAAATTATTCTATCGGTTAATGTATGCCTACCAATGACAACTATTTATCTTTATCTTTCAAAATTGAGATAATAAAATACTTTTTCCAACCGAATATTCTTATCTAAGGTAAGAATCACCCAGTAAATAGTATGTTATTATCATTATTCTAAAACTTGATATAATAGTTTTCTGTTTTGTATTTTAACATAGTAAAAAACAGTTAATGAAGCAGAAGGTGTACTGATAGAACGATTAGATACTACATGACTCAAAAGTGATTACACCTTTCGAACCAGATAGTTGACATTACTTACAATTGGTCCATCTAGTTTAGGTTTCTATAAGTCATAATATACAAAGATGGAAATCAGTCTGTACCAGATAAATATTGAAGCGACAAAGAAAAATAAACAGATTTACTGATTATAAAAAATGTTTTTGTTTTTATTTTATGATGGATTAATATAATTTTTTTTGTAATATATGTAAAACGTGTTTTACTATATTGAAGAAAGATCTTTTGATTTTTTTTTTCTTTTTTAATAAATAAAATATTTTGTTGAATTAATTGATTAGTGAGATAATCATGCTTGTAGATGATGCGCATCAATGCGATCATCATGGCTAATAAAAAAATGTTCAATTCTTTTTTTACTTCTTCATCCTATGTTCTACTTCAATTAACAATGTCTTCTATTTATTCAAGGTAAGTTAATAGTATATGATTTTTCTTCTTAAATTGATTGAATGAAAAATTTGGGTAAGCTTTACTTTGTTTTGGGGGGTGGGGGGGTGAGAGGGATTCTATTATTTATGAATTTTTCATTTTTATATTGATAAATGATAGTCTTCGATTAATATTTTTCAAAGAGAATAATATTTGAAGTATATTTTTTATGTAATGATTTTAGAAGAATATCTTCGAATTTATCGAATATTAAATATGATACATTATCTGTGTGTACATTCAATATTCTAGCACCATGTTATAAACGTTTATCATCTGAACATGATCGTGAAAGTTTTTATCATTCTTTATGGCAAAAACGTCATTTATCAATAATAAATCTTCTTCAATCACTTGAAATAAATCTTATTTGTTTACAAGAATTTTGGTTAAAAAATTCATTATTTATTCAATTATATAAATCAAATTTATCATCAAAATATTCATTTTATACACTTCAACGAACAGGTTTTCTTGATGATGGTTTAGCTATTCTTGTTGATTCAAAACGTTTTAAAGTTGTTGATAAATATGATATTAAATTAAATGATATTGGAAATCGTATTGGACTTTTACTTAATCTTGAATTTAATGAAAAAAATATACTTTTAATTAATCTTCATTTAACATTTCCACATTATAGATTTGAACGTCGATTAAGATTAAAACAAATGAAAAGATTTCTTGACTTAATATATAATTATCAAGTATCAAAAAATCTTTTAAATAAATCTTCAATTATTTTATGTGGAGATTTTAATTCATCATATCATAATGATAATGTTTATCAATTAGTAGAAAAACATTTTCAATCATCTTATAAATTTATTCATGGAAATGAACCACATGTAACACATTTAACACATAGAAATGAAGAATTAGGAGTAGATTTTATTTTTTATAAATCAAATCTTCTTCAACCAATATCAAGTGAATTAATTCCACATGGTTGTAATCATTTAATATGGAATGATCATACGAAATGGATATTAAGTGATCATCGTGCAATTTTTACGATATTTAAATACGACAACAACAGAAACAATTAATATAATTTACTTGTTTTGTTTTTTTTCTCATAAATTTTACAAAAAGAAACAATAGTTTGTTTATTGTATTATGATTTTTCTCTCTTCAGATTAACTATTTTCAGTCCAATTGTATACGTAATTGAGTTCGTACAATTATAGATTGGTTTTACAAGCTTAATATTACGCAACACTTGAGCAGTTGCTCACTTCCCAGCAAAAAAGAAGTTTTCAATTCAGCTAAAAGAAATCGAAACATTCCAATTCCGATTCGACTTTTATCAACCTCCGAGCTTCTCGGATCCATGAATTTTGTGCGCAATTCACTGGAATGCTTAAGTAAATGATAGGAACATGAAAAAAAGGAATTTAGTGGCTTTATTTTTCTTGTTTCGAATATAGCTGACCAACGGTATACTGCTTTCAAGTTCCTACTATTATTCCTAAAGTCTCTGTGAGAAGCAACTCGTATTTCTTGATCTCAGTCTACTCGAAACAAAATCTTTTTTGTTCCGTATAACTTAATCGAGATGAACAAAATGATCGAAACTTGCTTTGTACAAATCGTCAAATATATTCTGAATTCGTAATAAAACGAAACATATATATATATACATACTATTAATTATAAACATCAGCATACATAATTAGGAACACAAAAAGATAGTATACTACAAATATCGATAAAAATAAAAATATATTCTCATTGTTTTTTCTTAAAAATTTTCGGTATCTACAAGTACGAAATTTTCTTTTTATACATTTTAAAAATAGTTAAACAAAAGCGCCAAACTTTATTCTTCTTATTTCTTCTTTTAATTTCTCTAACTTTGTTATAATGTCACGTAATAATAATTATCAACCAATAGAAGAAATAGCTTCTTCAATTTCATCATCAACTAAAGATCTTCTTCGTACTCAACAGAAAGATATTGTATGCAATGATTGTGGTGGAATTTCTGCAACTAAAGTTCAACATTTATTATCAACACTAGAAGGTACAACACAATTATTTAATACAACATCATCATCAAATAATATTATTGAAAATACAACAAAATTCAATAATATTCATCGAAAAACAAATTATCAATTAAATTCAAAAAACAAGAAAAAAACTTCAGCACATAGTAATAGTAAAAAATCTTCATTACGACGAACTACAAAAAATAATAATAATAAAAATAAAACTAATAAAAAAAAAATTCAACATTCAAATAAACAACGAAAGTTAAGTATTAATCGAATTCGATCATCAATATCATCACAATATAGAAATAATAAAAATCGATCAAAATCAAAGAATAATAATACAATTAAAATCAAAAAATCATTATCGAAAAAAAACTAAAAATTACATAAATCAGTCTACTTATATTAATATTCATCGAATCATTTCATTTTTCATTAAAATAAATAGTATTTCACATTTAGTTTAGATATAGGCAAAAAAATCAACTCTTAATAGTCATTGTTACCAAACATTACAAAAAATATCTTCATCAAATGACCTAAAACAATATTATTGTCAAGATGACAAAAACAAATGAACTCAATTTTTATAACAATGTGGTATATTTCAAAATATGCAAAATTCTTATAACGCATTAAATCTATCAACATCCACAATTATTATTTCTATACATTAAAAAGAAATAATATCATGACATTTATTTTCTTTTTTACATGGGAATAAAAGTCATAGTCAAAATTTCAAGGACGGAAGCGGAGGTTCGATAACTGTTGAAATTGGAAGTGAGTTATGATAGAATTAGTCATACAGCAGTTCTTTGTGTTGTACACAAGTCGATTGAAATAGTCAATGACCATTACATGTATATTGAATTCGACTGTTGTTGATAATTAGTTCTTTTCATTTACTATTTCATGAGTGCTCAGACTATTCATATATAAATTGATGGAATTTTTCAAGCGCTACAAAATAGTATAAAAACATCAAAGAAAACAATACTGGCTACTCAAAGAAATTTTAAGAAGACTGTTCTCAAGACATCATTTTCAGTCGTAATTATTGGTATTTAATAGATTTCAATATGAAAATTTATGATTTGTGTGAAAACTAATATGATATTCTGAAATTAATATCCTAAATTGAATGGACTTGGATGTATTTCAATTAGTTTCAAAAAAGTTTTTTTTCGTTGAAAAACTCCCCTCTGATCTCTTTAGCAGTCAGCCAAATAATAAATTTCATCAAAAAGTTATTTTGACAGTGAGAATCAAGTTCTAAGTGCATAACACCATGGTAGAACTCCATTTAGTAAATGAATAAACAATAAAAACAGAGTTTTCATGGATCTCATATTCGTACTCAATCTTGAGCGAGTCAACTGTGTTCTTTTTTTAACTAAAAAAGATTTGCAAAAATATTTTAAATACGTGTTGAGTCCGCGTAATTTTGAATATTAATTCAGAATATTATATTAGTTTTTACTCAAACCTTAATTTTCATTTCGACGTCTACTGAATAGCAGCAAAAAAGGCTCACAATCATGTCTTGAGAATAGTCTCCTTAAGGTTTCTTTCACTGTTCGGTGTTTTTTTCTCTTGATGCTTTTTTACCACCTTGAAGTGCTTGAAAAGTGCTATTGAATAATTTCAAAATAGTCTGGTCGTTCATGAGATGAGTAAATAAAAAGAACTGATTATCAACAACAGTCGGATTCAATATACATGTGACGGTCATTGACTATTTTAATCAACTAACGCACAGTAGTCCTTTAGACAGAATTTGTTTTCAATTATGTACAAAATTACGACATAATTTTCTATGATTTAAAAATATAAACCTAATTTTCGTTTGCATTGAAAGAAACCGTTCTCTGTGGGCTTTTTCTTCACTAGACAAGTTATTCATTTTTACTTAATTATATTGTAATGTATGAATCAATGGCTTCTTCTGTGTCGACATCGAAAAATGAGTTTCGAAAGTATTTTTTATACACAAGCGAAGTGACATTTTCAATTTTAGAGAATTGAATTTTGATAGAAAGTCGCTATTATTCTACTACATGAAATACACAAGCTAAAAATCCTTCATTTTCTTGATTAGAAAATAACTCAAGAGCATAATATATTTATACGCTATATATCATCTACGAACTACATTATATTTAAAGACAAATATACATCGATAAATAATACGACTAAAAAAACAAAAGCGCATAAAGATTCTTGTTTTTTCTTTTGATTGAAGCTTGCAAAGATATTTCAATTGAGAACACTCGTGAACTCTACAACTTCTTAGATTTAATTAGACTTCAATATAAATTAGAACATAATTTTACATACGAATTTTTTCATTATTATATTTTTCAATTTTTTCAATTTTGAAATATTTAAAAAAATTCCTTTTTAATTCTATCTAAATTTTATCTTTGCTTGATATAAATATAATTCAGTTTTATGTATCTGCAAAAATAAAATTCCAATTTTCTTCTTAAGAAACAGAGTGCTCGATTAAAAATTCTCCTTCTCATATCTGTGTGTAAAAAAACTATTATATTTAAAATATATCTATCTTTAAATAAATTATTACTATTTCAGATCAATGTAATTTCTTTTTTTTCTTGATAACAGAACTCTACTATATTAGATTTACTATATTCTACCTATAGTTTGTATTTTAACTAATGAAATAGATGACTAATCATATATTAATACCAATGATATACATGAATTTTATGAAAACTTTTAATATTTATTTTCAATAGACAATCTAATAATTATTACACTTGAGAAAATAAAGTTAAATATTGGTGAATAAACCAAGTGAAATAAATAATGTATATAGACGTAAATATAGTTTTTATTATAATTTTCATCAAATACTCGTCATCAATGAAGAATCAATCTGTTCAACTCCATGATTATTATTATTATTATTAAGTTCAATAAATTCTTCTAAAGCTAAGCCTTTTTCCCGTAAATAATAATATATTTCATCATCTACATTTTTGTGTTCTTTGATTCTTTTATATAGGAAAAAAGCTCTACGTGAGTATAACGAATGCAGCAGTATTTACTTTTGATTGTATTCATTCTATCCAATATTGATAAGTTTGATTTTCCGGGCTTCTTCCGATCGACTTACTTCTCTACCAAGAGGCATGAAAAAGAAAAAATGATTGAAAAACATTAATATTGCTTCTATGCGAAACGAAAAAAAAAACTCCTTCACGACCTGCATGAATTCTGTTTAATGTTATTGTTGGAAAGATGATGAAATAACGTATATGAATTTTATTCATCAATTTCTGTTTGCATTGTATTTCAGTACTTTAGTAAGAAAAAAAAATGTGAGAAGAAGAAGAAAAAAAAAAAGACATTATTCAGACATGACTTTGTTTGTATCTTGCTGAAATAATATTCATGTAAGTAGAAAAAAAGTTTTCAATTCTTTGTTGAATAAAAAAGAAGAAATAGTGAGAGTATTTAAAATGATTTTTTTTTAAAAATTTAATCAATAATGTTAGTATCTTCTGTTGGGATTCCATTGGACTTGACCTGGAGGTGGTTGAGGTGCACGTGGTTGAGGTGCACGTGGTTGTTGATGATAGTTCGATGGTGGTTGTGAAGTACGAGGACTTAGCTGATTTCCGATAGGTGTTACATTTCCTGAAGCTTTGCTTCGTGTTACATAATAAATAATCATATAGACAATACAAAGTACAAGGCATAAACAACCAACACTTAATTGGATTGTTTGAAAGAGAAATTTTGTTTGCGATTCCGAATAACTTTTAAATGCACTAAGACTATTGAATGCTGTAAAAAAGCTGCTTCGAAACGAATAACTAAACACTGTTGTTGATGCAGCATTAGAAGTGCATGATGATGTTAATATACATGTTGTTGGTTGAGCGATGAAATAAGCATCAAATCCAATCAATGTACCACAAGCTAAAATAGCTATTACTGTTATTACGGCTGCACGTAAAGCAGCTGGTGGGCCTGGTGCACAACATCCTAGAGAAATTTCATTTAATTAGTTCATATTTATTGTTAAAATAAATATCTTACCAGCAACAAATAATCCAAAAAAGTGTACTATCATTATCAGACCACACCAACCACCAGCAAATACATTTGTTGTCCAAAAATTTGCTCCGACATTACCCAATTCAGTAAGTATAAGAACAATAGCAGCCACGACTTCAACAATACCAAGAAATATTATGAAGCATCTAGGCCATGCTTTTTTAAAGTTTTCTGGGTTTGGAGACGGCATATTTCACTATGAATGAATGCTTAAAAAAAACAGTCGCCTCTGACCTACTGTTGATGTTTTTGAGAAAAAATATTATGCCAGAATTTTTTACTTTTACATTCAATTTATTTATACTCAGTTTTTTCTTTCTGTCCCTTTTTTCTTTATTTCCACCTACTCTGTCATTTTTAATAATGTTCACAAGAAGAAAAAAAGAAAAAGAAAGAAAGACAGAGAACAAAATCGTCCTTTTCTTTCATATCGTAAAACAGAGAGAATTTTAACAACAAAAAAGCGAAATAACGCAACAACTATGCATAAATTCGCATCAGCTTTTCATTCTTGAAGCACAAAAGAAAAGCATGACGAAAAAGAACATTATTTTTTTATTTTTTTTCAATTGTGAATTAATGACAGAAACCAAAACACAACACAAAAGATAAACATGGAGAAAACTGATGAAAGTATTGATTGCTTTTGTTACAAGTATCAAAATAAGGCGTGTTAGTTATACTCAAAATAGAGTTAAATAACATGAATTTTAATGAAATATCAATTTCTTTCTTTAAATTGAACAATGACAACTTATTTTTTCATCGAGAAATTTACGCTGAAATGAATCTTGAACAAGTTTATTATATTTAAAAATCAAGGACGCATCAACTTGTTAGAAAAGAAAAACATTATGTTTTCATAATACATATATATATATATATTCTTGAAGAATGTCAATCTTTGATAATGATTTAAAGTTATTCATAATGTAATATTTGGATTTTAATGAAAATCATTAAATTTTTTATTATAATTATCATGTTTTCAACTATTCTTTGTTGGAATAACTTTAAGAATAATTTTTTTTCTCAATTTTTTTCAGACAACGATAATCAATCACTTTTACAAAGACTGTTCGATTATATTTATAAAAGATATATATATATTGAAAATTTTTATCTGCTATAATGAAAAATCTATGATAAAAATACAATAGAGACCAATGATTCTATGTTTAAATAAAGTAAAATAACAAACCATCATCTACATCACAGTTGGTAGATTCAACTAATTATATTTATATTTATATATACACCAGCTTTTAAATGAACTCTTGAAAGCAACAAGGGAATGGTAGATGAACTTCATGAACAGAGAAATACCACCAGTAATAAACTAAATATCTGACTCAATTAATTTTTTTAGAATAAATTTAGATATTAGTTTTCATTCTCGGAAACTACTAAAAAGGCAAATAAAAAAAAATTTTTTTCATCTGCTGATTCATTGTTTCCGTTTGCATTTTTGATAATGAAAACTAATGTATAGGAAAAAAAATTCTACATAAATTTTCATAAAATAAAATTTCTTTATTTTAATATTTTACACTTATTTACCAATACATCTATGCTCTTGTTGAAGCTCAGATAAATATTTTTCTCTACTAAAGCTTTTCAAAGCAAAAGAAAAATTTACATTCGTTATGATCAATCCGATGAAGTAAATTCATGGCAATTTAAAAAAAATTATTTCTCTAGCATTTATTTTTTTTTTTATTTTGTGCTCGTGAGTTGAATAGCATCCATTAAAAAACAATTACTCGTTATTGTATTAGACACATCAAAGTTTAGAAAGAAAAAAAATGTGCTGACCCTTCAAATGCCTATTGCTAAAGCCATTAGTGAAAAATGTGCGTCTCAATCGCTAATATTAATTGAATAAAATAGGATATTATTTTTATTTTAACAAATCAGTAATTAATTATTCAAACAATTTTGACAATCTTTCATTTCCGATAGAATATTTCTTAAATGAAAGAAATCATGTTTTTGCTTATCGTCACTTTTAATTTAATGTTTTAATGAATGTGAGCATCAATCATCTACGTAGTTCATAAGTTCATAATTAATATTCAATGAAATAAACAAAGTGTAAATTGACATGTTCTTCTTTAATGGATAACTTGTTAACAAGATCTCAAATGATTATAAGAAAAAAGATCTCTACTAAATTAACATGACATTCTCTGTTTTCAGTCATAGCATCATTTGATATGTCAATATTTTTCGAAAAGCTTCAAATGTTTAATTTCATCATTCAGATGTCATTAATTTTGTTATTCGAAAGAGTTGAACAATTGATTTATAAAATCATAGAACAAAAAATTTTTTTATTGATTTCAATATGATTTATATAGATTATGATCAAGTTCAGTTTTTTCATAATTCTTAGCAATAGTATGAATAGCAGGAATTGATCTATATACATTTTCAACTGCTTATTTTAAAAAAATTAATTAATTCATAAATAGTCAGATGAATTATATAATACTTCTTTCATTTCCTGACGATTATATTTGCTATGCCAAGAAATTAAAAGCATTCAAACTTTCTTTCAATGTACGTGTTTAGTAATACTATAAAGGACAAGCATTTCAAATATTGATCTTGACGTAAAAGCAAGAAGTTCTTCATCAAATACATTTACTTGAATAGATTCATAATCTTTATGCTTAATGTCTAAATTTCTAAACAACTTATTTAAAATTTGTATAAATATACATTGATGCAGTAAACAAGAGAAGTGATTGATTTCAGGATTGTCTTCTAAATGTATCTATTGAGATTTCATTTTATTGAATTTACTAACATTGGCTTCTGTTAAACTGATTTTATTTGCGTCATTCATTAAAAAAGACTGTCAATATGGACAAAGTTTGCAACCAATAAGAAGTAAAATATGTTGATAACAAAAGACTCTGATGAAATGCTAATTGTCCGAACTACAAAAATACTAAAATTAACCTACTTTGACGAGATCTAAGTTTATTCGAAAAAAAAATTAAATTTGTTTACATTTTGCGTGTGTTAATAAATAACTTCAATAAGTTACTTAGTAAATGTCATTATACATAAATTCTCGAATTTTGTAATATATTTCCTAAGTATATTCATATTTAAAGAAGTCAATGTCACTGATGAAGTTTACGTCATATTAGACAACACATAGTACATATTAACGCTGATTTGTCTACTTAGAGTTGAATTGAATCTTGTGCTTTTCAACATACTTCATAAGTACTGATAGCCGTATTCTAGTAACATTGGTTGATTTCATTCAGTTATCATTAACTTATAAAATCTCAACATACATGAAATTCTTCAATAAACGATACATAATTTGACGACACAAGAAATAAAGGAAAAAATCGTATTTCAAGTATATGTCGTGCCGAAGTTACACCGATTGCCTAAGTTATAACTTAGGCAAAAATTTTGCCGAAGTTACAACTTTGTCGTTTTTTCTTGCCGAAGTTANACATAAACTATATATAAATTATTTTGTGTATATAATTGCTCATATAACTGCTATATTTGTATTAATAATAATGAATCAAAAATGAATTTAATAAGTTGTAACACTCTCGAATTATTACTGCATCTTAACTTCTTCATTTAAATAATTTTATATTTATGCTCAACTCTTATTAAATTCATTTTTGATTCATTATTATTAAGTAACATGATTGCTTATCATTTTTGGAAACTTACTGCTGATCCTATAGAGACGGCCAAATAGGAGCGAAGGCAAAAAGACATGACATAATGCTTTGCCGATACGAAGATAATTTACAAAAGAACCCGCTTGATGATATTCCATATTTGTAAAAGTTTGTTGAATATCATCTTTTGTTAAATGATGAACTGAACCATAGATATAAATCTCAATATAATTATATAAAAAATGAATGTATGGAGTCGTGGCATATGTATAAAAACTTTAATAGTCCATAACACAGAAGAGTGACCATACTATAAACTATGAAATAAACATGTGTATTGTACCACCTCATTAGTCTGCCCCACTCTTTTTGAAAAACAAAAAAGATATGTGTATGTATGTATATATATATATATAGCGGTGCCCAGTCTGGCCGGATGCCCCGATTCCTTTTGTATCATTTGATATCTATAATATATCAGAAAAGTTTGGTGTTTTTTTACTAGTAATAGCACTCGTATTATGCTAGTGATCTGCCAAGGACAAGTGGTTTATATTGTGTTTCGAAACCAAAATAATCAAATGTCTTCTTAAAAACCTGTTCGTGAATATTAAAAGATTTTTTGAGACACTTAATTATTTTGGTTTCAAACATAATATGTAAAGTAGAGGCCGTAAACGATTCGCCGAATCTTAATAGAATGTGGAAAAACTATACATTATTGGTTGCACACGATTGTAGTTTCCATGTCAGATTAGTTTACAAAAGTGCTAATTTATGGATGTCTTAACAATACATGTAATAAGCTGTAACGCATAATCGTAAAAAGTTCAAATATAACTCGTTTACGATATCGATGGAATACAGGCCGTTTTTCATCAACAACAACATAGATATCATAAACTAGAATGAAATTTTATCGACTAATAGCAAATGAATAACATTTGCTCTTATCGACTGCATATTCGATATTTAAAGCTATTAAAAACCTATTTATTATAAACATTCACAAGGGATTTGGAATGCATCAAGAATGAAATGCAATGCATAGGTTTCATTTATCGTATAGTAATCGGCATTGTGTTGATATTGATCATTCTGTTATCGATTTTTCTCAAAAAATTAGAGACTAGAAACTATGAATGTATGATTATTTATTTCTTGATTATATTTAAATGACACGCTACTTGATATTTATAGATGATCAGCACAACATTAATTTAGGTTTTAGAAAAAAAAATGACAGTGAGTCTAAATAATATACATTAAAACATGACAATTGTTCTATTAACTTCCACTGGCAATTGAGGCCGTTGATGAATTCCAAAAAGTCGGTATAGAATATGATAAAGAGTTGCTTTAACTTCATTTCGAAACGTTTTCGATGTAGCTAAGTATACGTAGAATGTTGCAGATGAATTGACATATACAAGAAAAGACGCTGTAATATAATTGATAAATGCTTCTATTGTTTGTCGATTGGCACTTTTGACTACTGACATGGTCACTGAATTATACAAAGCAT